ATCAAACCCTTGCATTCATTTGTGCAAACTATGAACTTATTCCCAACGCCCTAAAAGAATGCTGAAGTCCTTTTATGATCTATGGCTGTTTTCTGAATCTTTCAGAACCTGCAGCGCACACGGAGGAAACTATCATGTTTAATGGCATGTGAGTGTTTACTATGAGCAAAGTACACAGAGATCCCCAAGAGTGGAATTCCAGGGCCTGGGATTTCTCCCCTCCAGGCTCACTTTGAATATCTGCTCAGCAGCGGCCTAACTGGCTGCCAATTCCTGCTCCAGAAGCAGGAAATTACAAAATGAAACATTATTTGAATCTCCAACCTTCCCTCTTCATCTTCTTTTCCTGTAGCTGACAATGACAAATACCGTCCAGGAAGGAAAATGTGTTAAAAAGAAAATCCAATCAAAAGATCATAGCATTGTCAAAAGTATATAGAGAGGAAACAGATAAATTTAAACATTGATTCAAGGGTACATGGAAATTATCATATGACCAGTATTTCGATTCAGCAGGCAAAGGTGAATGGAAGAAAAGAAATATGGACACCTACCTCTCGGCCATGTATGAAATCAAATTCCAGATAGATTAGTGACTCAAAAACTACGTGTAAATAAAGCATGTTGTTGCAATTAGTGAGAACTCAGAAGAAAACACATTTTGTTGGAAGCGATTGCATATAAAATATCTGAGCAACGCAGGTGTAATAAAAAATGCTTCAGTGAAAGCCTGCAAAATCATAAACCATGTAAAATAAATCAAGGGCCTCCCCGGTGGCGCAGCGGTTGAGCGCTGGGTTGCGAAGCTGCCCGCAGCCTCTGCAGCGCCAGTTCCATCCCCGGCCGCCAGGCGAGGGTCCCACATGGCGCACAGACCTCTCCTGCCGTGCCCGCTGCTCCCCTCGGCAGTGCACTTCGTCTGTCTGCCTGTTCTGTTCCCCGCTCTGTCTGTTGGTGAATTCTCTCACCTCCCACGCTTCTGACTGTACCCCGTGCTGCTTGTATAAATACATAAATAAATCTTAAGAAAAAAAATCAAACTGTCTTAAATGTGCACACAAATGGAAACTACAGAGGAAAAAACTCCTGAAAATTAGAAATGAATGTCCGAGTGTGCAGTGATGGGGAGGGGACTGGTTTGGCCTAGCACGTCATGGTTTTAACTTAGAACAAGATATTTCATTCCTTAGAGCCTTTGTGGAGACTCACAATACTGTTGTGTTCGCAAACGTTCCCCAGTGATCTTTTGCAATGTCCATTCATAAATTGAAATCATTCCCCCCAAAAAGGAATTGTCAGCATGTGGTAGAATTTTCACAGGGTCCAATCACTCATTGAATGTTGCCCACTGGGACCTAAATAGCAACAATCTGACATGCACCGGTATCCTTCAAAATCTACTTGGCATGTAACAGTAGAAAAGTGTTTGACTTCCCTTTCTCTTGCAAAGGTATCTCTATATCACAGGGTTTTATCAGTATACTGCATTTTTATGCTCAAAGACTGATGACATACTATGCGGAGACAGAAAGACATATAAAAATTGATATTTAGTGTTTCCAGTGTTCCCAAGTCTGTATTTCAAATGTTTTTCTCGTGGTTTAAATTGTCTTTTTAATGGTCGCATGCAACCAATAAAAAAATAAAAATAAAATTGTGATAAGGACTTAAATAGTACATGAAAAATGAAATTCTGTTGAGAATCTGACAAGGGACAGGACTTTGCCCCTACCAGTTAGCTCACGTGTGTTGCGGATGGAAACTGCTAAGGGTTGAGAGAAATAGTCAATCGATTGTTTGCAGAGAGGAACTGGGAATTGAATGAAAGTAAAAAACATGCTGAGGTCCCACCGAGATTTGAACTCGGATCGCTGGATTCAGAGTCCAGAGTGCTAACCATTACACCATGGGGCCCGCGGCGCGGCGGGGTGGTCCCGGAAATCTCTGATGACAGCTCTTCTCCCTCCAACTCCTGTTCTATCGTCTAAAGGGTGTGAGCAATCTCTGCTTGTCCTCCCCGAGGGGAAGAATGGGTGCTGACCCGCCACGTGGCTGCACCAGAATCCCGGAGCCCAAAGGCAAACACCGACCTCTAAAGGTTAGGAATCCTCCCCGCCACCCACACATTCCCACATCCCCCCCGAGCGGCCCGGGAGCCTGGAGTCCAGCCTCTGTTTCTGGAGCCCAGGTGAGGTCGCTGAGCGAGGCTGGGCCTGGCCACCTGCCGGTCCTGTGCCAGGTGTTGGCACTGTCGCGTCACCCAGGGCGCACGACCCGCCCGCGAGACGGGACCGTTGTCCCCACTCACAGAGAGGGACCCCGAGACGGACGCGCGATCTTCTCCCCGCTTTGCCAGACACTGTGGCTTCCACAGTGGAGACACCGGAGTTAACAAAAAGAGGAAACAAACGTGCCACGACGCGGGGGGCTGCAGGATCCCCGCAGGCCTGGATGCGCAACTCGGGGCGGGAGGACGGGCCGCCCGCCCAGCGCCCCCGTCACCTAGAGGAAATGCGCAGGTGGACCCAAAGAAGAGTCCCGCCCGGGGTACCCACAAGTCCGGTCCCACCTTTACGAAAACCCACAGAACGACCGATTGCTGCGAGGGGTCTGGGGGAACGTGAGTCGCGTCTTAAGCTCCTCCTGCCGGCTCTGAGCGGCCCGCAGCGCAGCGCAGCGCGACGGGACGACGCGGCCGTTTCCTCCCTGGTGCCGGCCGCGCTGGCGGGGATTCTCCGCGGGTGTCGAGCCGGCTTGGGGGAAACCGATGCCCGCGGATGCCCGCGGCTCGCGCTGGTCCTGGGCTGGGAGCGGGGGGGGGGGTGGGGGGCGGACGGCGGAGCCCGGCACCCTCTTCTGGACACAGACGTCAAGCGCCAACCAACCCAGACAACACCCACAGTCCCGTAAAGTCGGCCTGAAACACCCCCTTCTTGGGGCGACGCTAACTAGACCAAGTCTTCCAATTGGTGATTCCTGGAAAGCTGGCCTGGGAGTTTTTGTCGAGTCTAGCACAGGACGAGGATGGCCAAGCAGAGGGTGTAGAGAACCCTCAGGAAAGAGGGTAAAAATCTTCCACGGAAGATCCCAAACTCTCAAAAACCTGGCAGACAAGGAAAAGGTCCTTCCACTGGAGATGTTTTTCAACCTGCGCCGGGAAGGCCCTATAGATTCTTGGCCCACGACACAAGGAGCCAACGACGAGTGTATTAGTTAAATCATATTTTCCAGTGGCTCCTCTTGGCCTTGACCCTGAGCTGTTCCCGGTCAGTTCCAAAAAATGCACTCCGGGCAGGGAAGTGCTTGAGACCTGACGGGCAGCGGCTCCAGTCCTCCAGAGGCCTGCCCTGGTCACGCCTCTGAGCACAGCCGGGAAGCTGGTCTGAGTAGGGTCCTAACTTGGCAGCTTTCAGGGGCCATTGCTCCTTCCTGTGCCCTCAGAAGGAAAACAGAGGAGGCACCCTCAGTCTAAATCCTGCTCACAGGGAAGTGCTCAAACATCTTCCATCACAAATGCGTAGTCTTTCCAGAGACCAGTTGCTTGCCAGATGCTGGGCTCCCTACAATCAAGAGGTAACCCAAACGAGGCACATACTTCAGGACAGCAGGCCCAGAATGTAGTGACAGGGGCCCTTCTCCCTTGAGGTGAATTCTCATCCCAAAGATGCAATATGGGAGCCCGATCACATTATCCTGCCCTCTCCCCCCAACCCCCCCCACACCCAGCCCTCCCGAGTGCACTCACTAAGTAGGGTGAAGGATCTTGGGTGACATTTGCCTCCACGGAGACTTCTGCTCCAGTCATGGGCAAAGACTTGGTCTTAGGGTGGACACGGACTTGGGATCCTTGAAGAAAAAGAAGTGCGGGACGAAGTAGAACAGAACTTTGGGGAACCCAGCATGGACACGAGCCCCCTGGAGACTGTGGGCTGAACACAGCATATGGAAGTTTATGCACTCAGCAAGTACTTGGGAGCTTCTCACAGGAGCCGGGCTGTGGGATGAGAACCGACAGGTGAAGGCGGCCACTGGGCTGGTTCCCTTACTGTCTCGAGGAAAGGGCATACTAAACAAACAGCAAATCCATGAGGTGATATGGGGAGCTGAGGGACCTGGGCAAACACAGACAAGGGCACTCCTAGGTCAAAGGAGCCAATGAAGGTCTCAGCAGGAGGGCCGGAAGGGCTGAGGTAACGGTTCAACAGTGGGGACAGAATTAAGATCTCATCTGGCAAGGGCAGAGGGGAAGGCAAAACACTTTGCATGTAGAAAACAAGAGACGGGGAAATGGACAAAGTAAGTATTTTTTACCGCGGCCGGTGACTTGAATAGGGGTGTGGGGGGGTGGGTGGCGGGCGGGGCGGTGCAGGAAGGCTGACAAATGAATCAGGAGAGGTAGGCAGGTTAGGACGGCCATTAAAATGTAGATGGCTGCTTTAAGCCAAGTGAGGAGGACTTGTTCTGCATTAGAATGCCCTGAGGTGGCAGCAAGGGCTGCTCACTCGTGAGCTGCTACCTGCAGTTTGGAGAAGCGTCCCATGCAGATCAACTTCACCCAAGGGCAGAGGTAGTTCTGACATTAAGGCTAAGAATCTAAAAACTGTGCAGCTCTGGTGGGACGAGGCGGCCTCTGTGCTCTGCTTGTGTGGGCTTGACCTGGCAGGGGCCATTGGTAGATGGCTCAGTCACAGTCCATTGCCTTAAAAATCTCGTCTCACTCTTCCAGCCTTAGAGTAATCTGCCATTCTTTCAGAATCAGGAAACCTCTTCTTAGGCACACACAACTTGCTGCCTAGGACTCCAGCCCAAGGGGGACCGTCGTCCCTGACTGGCGGCTGTTTCTTTCAGGGCTGGGCTGACTCGCTTCAGTAGACTTGCAAAGGCTGACAATGATCCTGTTGCTCTGTGACTGGCGTGCCTGTCATTTCGTTGATTACAGGGGGAAATGCTAGCTTGAAGAGCCTAGACCACAGAGGAAAAATGTCCTTAAAAATCTAGGAAGGTCCCACCGAGATTTGAACTCGGATCGCTGGATTCAAAGTCCAGAGTGCTAACCATTACACCATGGGGCACCTAGCAAGGTGGCAGAACATGTATCACTTGTGACAAATACTCATTCCCGAGGACCTGGTTCCTAAATTTCAACATGGGTTTCAAAAGTGACTGCCGCCCTCTAGAGGGCCATCTCGGAAATGTAAGCCTGCTTTGGCTGTCTCCGTGGGCGCTAGCCGCAAAGGTCAGGTCAGGACCAGACCAGACAGAGATCTTGCGACTTTTGGCACAGGGGTACACAAAGAATTATCCTAGGAGTACGCAGCTTCTGTAAAATGACGCATCTTTCACCTGGATTTTCCAGGTGTCTTTCCTAATTCTTAAATCCCTGCACCTGCCTTCGCACCCGCCCAATGAATCACCTCTCCTGCCACTGGCAACACCGTGGAAGGCCTTGTTAGGACCTTAAGAGATGGGAAATGGCACTTTCTGTTTTGGGAGCCCTGAACTACACACGAAGCCTGGCCACTGCCAGGCCACACACCACAGAGAAGCCCGGGCCAGCAGAAGGGCTCTGGCCGGCAGTAAGGGCCTGACTTGAGAGAAGATGCCGGGCCTCCGCTTCCCTCCCTAGATTCAACTCCAGCTAGTGATTGTCCGTCCACCAGAGGCCCCTGAGCTCTGGGAGCAGAGTGCCCTTCCCGCTGTTCCTAACCCAGAATCCATTGATCCAGTTTTATTTTATAACCCCCAAGCTTCAGGCTGGATTATGCAGTAACAGTGTTACTCCTTAAAAATGTGACCCCCCCCCAACTCCCTCGCCCCTTCCCTTATTCAAATCTCATTGATTTTGATAAATCATTTTTATTGTCTGATGCCTCCCTCAAAGCGCCTTAAGAGGAATTTTCATTTTGGGGGGAGGGAGCACTGGGCATACTCAGTGCTGGAATCATGTCTTGATTAAATAAATTTCCTTTATGTTGGATGATTGGGTTACGACTAAGTAAAATCACTGGCTAGTCTAGAAGGATGAACTGGACATTTTGCAATGTCTAATGTTACCACATTGGCCTCGTAATGCATGATGCTAACTTATATCTTAGTTACATATATTGTTTTATTTGATTCAAGCTTCCTGAAGATCTTAGACAGATTTCTCTCCTGGGAACTTGTAGATAAGGTACCTAATTTGTGTTTCACTTGTCTGTGACCTCAGTGGCCAAACTCCACAGCTCACTGCATGGGGGCGGGGGGGGCGGGCAGGGAGGAGGTACAGGAAAATCTGTGGGCCACTGGACGGAGGTTGGACTCACCTGCTCGGTTAAACTAGCAGATGTTGGCGCTTCCTTCTTTCTGCAGCACGGCTTTCACTGTAGCATAGGATCAGCCTCCCCCAAAATGTTCAGACAGGCTTTCCCGATGTGTCACCTTAGCACGCAGAGTCCAGGTGAACAGAGGAGTAGCCTCAGGAGAAATTGCCACCATTACTTAAAATACAGATGACGCAGGTGTAGTGTCATCTCCAGAAATATTTTTATCTGAGAGAGAAAACTATGCTTTTTAACTTAAAGAATTTTATTATTTTCTTCCTTCAGATAGGAAGTCAGTAATTTGACAAAGGTCTCATAATCCTTGATTCTTCGAAACTGGCCCAGGCTTTTCAACTCTGGACAGTCCTCAGCTTACTCAGGTCTTGAGTAACGTTAACCATTAGCTATCCTGCTGTCTCCGGAAGACACGGGACCCAAGCTTTGTCAAGACGCCTTATATTCTACCTGCAGTTGAGACACTGTTACGGGACAGACAGGACCAAGCCAAGGGTAAGAAGATGAGGCTACCCTCAACCCACTTAGCGCCTGGGGCCACAGATCTCCTAATCAACCCTTTCCCATGTCTGGCTCATCCTGAGCCATTCAAAGTCTCCCCCGCAACAGTAAACTCAGAGGTCAGCAGACAAGGCCATTGATAACCACACCAGGCTCCCTAGGAGGCCCAGAAGCGACCGCCTTCTCTACAACCCATTTGTGTAAACCACTCCTGAGTTACCAGGGCTGGATGACATCCATTAAGGCCCAGAGCAGAGGCGAGACGTAGGCCACAGAAGCTTCTGTGAAGCTCATCTTAAAGCAGGGCGAGTTCTGATCATATGACTCTCCCCTCCTCGGCACCCCAGGTCCCTTCCCCACTCCCTAGCCCAGGATATAAACCCTGTCCCATGCACTTTAGAGTGTACAGCCTTATGTTATGAATTTTCCATATATAATAAAAATTGGTCTCTCTTACTAATCTGCCTGGTGGTCCTTTTTTTTGTTCAGATCAAGAGCTGAGAGGGATGGGGGAATTTTCCCAGTGACCGAACATTGACAGTCGTATTTAAAATTCTGAGTCTGTTGTCTTTTTTGTCCACAGATACTGAGATTCCAAATCAAGAAATCTCAACAGATACTGAGAGCCTGACCTGTGCTAACTCCTCCAATCTGTGAGTGCCTTTTTTTGACTATAATCTGGAAATTCAGCTTAAGCCTTGAATGGGGTTCCTTCCCAGAATTTGATGAAAGTTACAGAAATAGAATCTTGCCATAATATGAGCAGGAATAAAATGAATGAGATTCTTTCAAAATAGCAGTTTCTTCGATATGAAGAAATCACACAGTCACATGTCAAGTAACCAAAGGGAAAATTCCAACAATGACAGATGGGAATTTAGAATCTGAACAAAGGAAAACTGAAGTGTGAGCATTGTCCACAGCTATAATGTACCTCAAAACCATCCATGGAAAGACAGTTCAGGTTACATTGTGTGCAAAGATAAAATTGTAATGGAACAAGCTGTAATACTGTTAAAGATTTATGGAAATGTTCCTTAGCAATCATTTACTATGATTCTTTACTTACTGAAGAAATCTTGACTCACTGTCTTGTGGTCAGTTTGGAGGCCAGGCATACTTCACCCTCCAACACAGTGAGTTCTAGTTGAGTATTTCTTGTGTTATCGTGAATATACAGAGACCAGCATCCTACATATGTTTGAAGCATTCCATCGCTACATCAAGTTTACAGCAAGTGAGCCTCATGGGAAGATCGCAGAAGATAAGCGAGGGCAAGCAGATCAGGCTTACAGGACGCTGCTTAAGTTTTCCTACCCCTAAGTTCTGTGGTTAGTGTCTCAGGAGCTTAACTGAAATTCCATAAAATTTCCTGTGATCAATCCAAGGAAGGTCGACCACCCATTTCCCTAATTTAGGTTTTCGGTGAGTTTTGCATTAGTATTAGGGGGGGGAAAGTCCATTTAAATTGTAATGAAAACTGTCTACACTCACCACAGTGCTGACAGCTAAGCCATAACCTTTTATTTTGACTCTATAACTGGAGACTTTAACTTTCAAAACAAAATTTAAATCTCCCAACTCCCACATTATCTGACATTACAAGACTTCACGTACTCAACCTCAATAACCCAGATAGAAGAGAAAAAATTATACTTAAAGCTGGAGAATCAGGTCACATGGTTCCAGCAGTCATCCTACACACCTCAGACTTTGGAAAAAGGAAAAAAGTTTCGGTCGAGGACCATAACCCTAGATTATCGCAGGGTTTCCAGGGTTCATCTGGGCAACAGAAACTGAAAGAGAAAAGAGAATACTTAAGCTCGTCTTTCTCTTAAACAAGCATAACTTGTCTTCAAGTTGGTAGGACCAATGGATGTTGGTCTCTGGGTCATCACCTTCCAGGACTTTCTTCACTCTAGAGGGATGCACCCAAGGCTTTTATGCCTGCAAATTTCAAAGAAGTGTGAGTGGTTAGAAAAACATCCTAATTACGAGGACATTCTATGAGTTGAGCTTGGGTATCTCCACTCTGACAGGTCTTAAGCCCTGATCACCAGGATGAAAGGATGCAATCTGGAGGCAGAGAGGCCTAGAAGGTACGGAGTTATGAGTCAAAGCTGAAAGCTCTTTGCCCGTATTTTTTGATTCTGCATTCTTTTTCTATGTCTGGTGCAGCGTTCAAAATTGAAGCCCGGCAACTACTTCACTTTTGCTTGAATTTCAGGAAATTAAAATGTATTAAGGAGGGCAAAGGTGTGTGGAATAAGGAGAAAAGATATCCCAAGATACATGCTATCAGTTACGTTTATGTTGGAAAATACCTACGTGACATTCAAATATAACTTTTAAAATTCCATTTTCTTTGAACCCTATGCTGAACATTTGTCTTGTCCTCTTGGGCTGCAGCTTGGATGAGATTAGGTAGCATCTTTTGCACAATACTGAGAGCAGACAGCCTCACACCTCGGCTCATAGCAAAAGGCAAAAGCAAATTCTGGAGTCTGAAAACTGAACTTCTTTTGTATAGTCACCCCCTCTATCAGAACTGGGGCAAGTGTCAGCTGGGGTGACCAGGAAATTCCGTAGGTAAACATGGGCTCTGCAGGCTGGGTGTGTCCTCTGTTGCATCAACCAAGGTCTAATGCATTGAGACTGATATTTACCAGCACAAGGCAAAACCCACAGGGTTTCTGGAAAGATTTTCATGACCACTGACACACCATCTTCCAAGGGTTCCCTTCTACTTCTCCAAATCCCTTCTCTGGGCTGCCTAAACCCTGTCCTGTGTTCTATGAAAATATCTGCAGATTTAAGTCTCCTTGACTCTCCGCCACTGTAAACTCTAAAGCTGGGAAGAACTCATCTTTAAGGCACCTTCGGTCTTGATTGATTCCCTCCTTATATCCGAGTGCTCTGACACATGAATGTCATGTTAATCATCTACTTTCCAGACTATCTGGGTTGATGTCAAAGTACTATAAGCTCAAACAATCCTTTCAAGAAACTCAGGTGGGTGCTCATGGACCTTTTGCTGGAGTTCTACACCTTACCCAACCTCCTTTGCTTAGGAATTCCGTGCCACAGTCCCGATAAGCACCTCCTACGATATTCCAGCCTTTCCATTCCATTTTGGGGGGTCCCATTAGGATCCACCACTGGGACAACCTCTTCAGGTTCCAGGGTTTTTTAAAATCTCGCTGGTGGAGACGACGACGACGAGCCTCCCTCCTCATTTGCCTTCATCAAAACCATTCTCTGCTCACCCGATGTTAATTAACAGGGTTAGTAACACGGACTGTGCGTCTGCCCGTCTACAATGGGAAACAAAAATAGAGGCAAACAAGTCAGCCATCCTTTCAGGATCCTGCTGGTGTGGAGGGACAGGATCTTTCCAATTCAGGAAGCCCTCCATAGCCAACAGAGGCTGGCAGGGTGCCCCTGTTCCCGCAATCCACACAGTGGGGAGTGTCCTATTGCAGGGCAGCTCCTTTGGCCAAGCTGGGCGCCCCATCTGGTGTGAGAAGCCATTAGAGTCCTACCCCGTGGGGGGCGGTGCAGAGAGTGGGGGTAACAAGGACGGAGGAGCCGCTGCAGCCCCCACAAGAGGGGTTCTGGCCTTCCGAAAGGGGTTCTCTGCTGGCGGGTTCAAAGCTTCCAGTAAATGACGGCCCTGTTTTCCTGTCCCCCGCCTTGCACAGCTAGGAGGGCGAGGGGAAGGCCGCGACCCTCTCCTGTGGGAGCCTTTGCTAAGCCTAAGGCCGGGAGGCCGGCCGGAAGTCGCCCAGCGGTCCAAGGCGAGGGTGTGCACCCCTCTGCAAGCAAGTCAGCGCCCCCAAAGGAGGCCTCTGAGCAGATTCCAGAAAGCGGGCCCCACAGGCAGCGCCCGGGAACAGGAGCACCCGCTGCACGCCGGGCCGCCACGGAGCCCGAGTCCGCGCTCGAGTCACCCGCGGCCGTGCGGAGAGAAAGCCGAGCCCCTCATTAAAGCCAAAGATCCCGCCAGGGCCCCGCGGTCGCCACGCTCCAGGGACCAAAATCGGGAAGGGCGCTGGGGCCGGCCAGGCGCGGGCCCCAGTGGTCCAGGGCAGCCACTGGGGAAACGGCGGGGGCTGGGGGAGCCCTCGCGGCCGGGGCTCGGGGCTCGGGGCTCAGGACACAAGCCAGAAGCAGACACCCGGGGACGAGGGGAGAAGGAGGAGGCGACAGAGTTAACTGGCCAAAGGTAACGCAGCAGCGCGCACCGGGCCACCGGCGGCGGCAGGCAGCATCAGACCAAGGCCGCCGGCGGGCGCCGTTATCTGTCGATCACGGCCGCGTAGCCCCGCCCCTAGCACGTCCCCTCGGAGAAGGGCCCATGGGACTTGTAGTCCAAGGCGGCGTCCCCCAACGGAGGCGAATCTCCCACAGCCCTACTGTGTACTGCTATGGCCCCTGTATTCGTTACTTGGGGTTTGCTCTACTCGAGAAGCCGAGGTGGCGGCAGCACTCGCTTCACTAGAGCTCTCCCAAAGAGCGGGGCGCGGGCTGCACTGACCTGGCAGGCGCGCGGGGTTCGCTACCGGCGCATCCCCTCAGAGCGGCTCAGCTCCTCTGTGGTCCCAGCAGATGGCGGAGCGCAGCCAGAAGTCAGCCCTTTATTCCAAACCCAACGTGGGCTCCCTGGCCCTGGGCTCCGCTGCCGTTTACTGCAAGCGGAGACCCACTGCCTTGTCAACCCGCTTTTTGCTCTGTTTTTTCCCTTTCCTAAAATGCTTGTGCGTCCGCAGCACTCCCGCGGGCGCCAGCTCACCTCAAAGATGGCCTCGGGGAGTCCGCAGCTGGCTCCGTCTCCTCCGCTCGCGCCTGGAGCAAGGAGGGGGTGGGGGGAGGGAGACAGGCGCGGGCTTCCCGCCCGGCCGCCTCCGGTTTTCAATTTGGTCCGAAAGGGACGGGCCGCCCTCGCGCCCTCCCGCCACGGAAAGCTATTCCCTAGACATGGACTTCCATTTCCAGGTCGTGTCCGGCGACGGCAGAGACGGCGCGAGCCGCGGGCCTGACGGGTCGGGGGCCGCGAGGCGGGACAGGGCCCAGGACGTGAGCACGCCCACCCGCCGCGACCCGGTGCTGCGAAGGCGGGCTGCCGAACAGCGAGCGCTGCGGTGTTCTGTGCAGAAAGCAAGCTGCCTTCCGAAAAGCTTTTACTTTTGCTGCCCAGGGCGCAAACGCTACCGCCTCGTGCCTGCATTTGCAAAATGTTTTAAATTACGCATTGCAAACCTGGGACACTTAACTGAATTCCTAGATGTTTAACCAACCTCATGGCAAGAAAACCTGCGAACTCCTGTTGAAACTCCAACTCCCGAGGTTTCTAAATATCGCCACGACCAAAAGTTCTTTAAAACCACAAACTGCATCGGTAATACATACAAAACGCAAGCCTGGAGAAAACCCCAACCTCCCCGTCGCCCCCCTTTACCCAAAAAACAAAACAAAAAAAACCCTCTCAAATTAGAGACTGGAATAGTGAAGCAACTCTATTGTGAGAAGTGAGTGGCTCTGAAAAGAGCCTTTGGGGTTCCACAGCGCCTAAATTAATTTACTTGGAGCTGGTGTACTTGGTGACGGCCTTGGTGCCCTCGGACACGGCGTGCTTGGCCAGCTCCCCGGGCAGCAGCAGGCGCACGGCCGTCTGGATCTCCCGCGACGTGATGGTCGAGCGCTTGTTGTAGTGCGCCAGGCGGGACGCCTCGCCCGCGATGCGCTCGAAGATGTCGTTGACGAACGAGTTCATAATGCCCATGGCCTTGGACGAGATGCCCGTGTCGGGGTGCACCTGCTTCAGCACCTTGTACACGTACACCGAGTAGCTCTCCTTGCGGCTGCGCTTGCGCTTCTTGCCGTCCTTCTTCTGCGCCTTGGTCACGGCCTTCTTGGAGCCCTTCTTGGGCGCGGGCGCGGACTTGGCCGGCTCAGGCATGGCGAGCAACAGATTAAGGAAAATGAAGTGCCAGGGCCCGGCGGCACCGCCTTAAATATACAGCCTTATGTAAATGAGGTGGACTGGCGCTCCCCGGTGATTGGTGCTTCCTCTCCGGTGACGCCACCGCGCCGGCTTCACCCAATCGACACACGCATGCCCCATCGTCGCGCCCCCATTGGTGCAAACGAAAATCTCACAGTGGCCAATCGCACAGCTCCTTTTTCGCGCCCCGCCACCACTATAAGTAGCTTAGGTCGGCCTCGCGGGCGTGAGGGCGTCCCGTGCGCGTTGGTGTTCTTGCTGACATGTCCGGACGCGGCAAGCAGGGCGGCAAGGCGCGCGCCAAGGCCAAGACGCGCTCCTCGCGGGCCGGGCTGCAGTTCCCCGTGGGCCGCGTGCACCGCCTGCTGCGCAAGGGCAACTACGCGGAGCGCGTGGGCGCCGGCGCGCCGGTGTACCTGGCCGCGGTGCTGGAGTACCTGACGGCCGAGATCCTGGAGCTGGCGGGCAACGCGGCGCGCGACAACAAGAAGACGCGCATCATCCCGCGCCACCTGCAGCTGGCCATCCGCAACGACGAGGAGCTCAACAAGCTGCTGGGCAAGGTGACCATCGCGCAGGGCGGCGTCCTGCCCAACATCCAGGCCGTGCTGCTGCCCAAGAAGGCCGAGAGCCACCACAAGGCCAAGGGCAAATAGAAACCTTCACTTTCGTAGTTCAAAGCTTTGCATACAAACAAAAGGCTCTTTTCAGAGCCACCTACGGTATCCTTGAAGAGCTGAGCAAATGCAGATTTTACTTTAGTTGCTTAGGAAATGAGAGATGGTCTCGTGGTTTTTTTTCGGTCTGTGTGATTAATCATCAGTAATGTAAGAGGTAATGTACTTCGTTGCTTGTGATAGTGTATGGTTTGGTTAATTTTGGGTTTTTGATTTACGGATAACAGGGCATCAAACATATCTTTCTTAGGTCCCAGGTCCAAGTTGTGATAGCTTTGAGGCATTGTTCTCCCAAGTCTCGGCCCAAGAGTTAAATAAAGCCTTGAGATTTCTGCTGAATCGTTAATGTCACATCAGTATAAATCTTGCTGCCATTACTAATTAAGATCTTTTAACGATCACCCTTTTTACTGGGGAACCTATGGTGTTTGTGTTTTCACTTTGTTGTATTTTCTCAAGTATTCAGTTTAATTTCAGCATGAAAACCAAGTTGTTTTAAAATGCCTCTCGGCCTTTTGTAAGATAAAAATGTTGAGTTAGATTTATGAATTAAGGAGTGTTTCTAGAGTAGAAATTGTGTAGTGTGGAATCATTACCTGATTAAAAAGCATTCCTGTGAGAATGCCTTTCTCTGAAATTTTGGGCCCTTGAATTTCTCACGTAAAAGTCAGATTTTCTTGCTGAAAAAAGAATTCGTAGAATTTATGTGCTGGAAAGTATAGAAAATCGAAGGCAGGAACTATGGAGCTCTGTTGCCCAAAGTTAGATCATTGTAACTAGTGATCACTGGACAGATGATTTCTCTGAATTAAAATGTGCTGTTCAGATAAAGCAGTAGATATTGAGTTAATGCAAAATAAAGAATGCTAAATATCTTGACTACGTGTTAAAACGAATGTTTTGGCTATATTGGGTTAAACAGTATTTTGTTTCAATCTAGGAACGGAACATGTCCTAGAAAAGCTAGTTTCTTATTTTACATTTTTTTTTTTACTGGAAATTGCATTTATTTTTACTGAAATTACAAACAACTTGTGAGAAAAATAGAATACATGGCGGTCCGGAACAACTTGCAAAAGAGAATTTGGAGTATGACAAAAAAAACATCGAGTTTTTAACCAATCCGGTTACCGATCGGCTAGTTTCCTTTTCTCAATCAGATTCTGACTCACAGTATAAGTAGGAGGCCAGCCTGCAGTCACAGCAATTGAAATTTCAGGCCCTGGCTCCCACGAACAGACGGCGTGTAACTCCACAGGCAGCAAGGCGCCGCGCAAGCAGCTGGCCACCAAGGCGGCCCGCAAGAGCGCGCCGGCCACGGGCGGCGTGAAGAAGCCCCACCGCTACCGGCCGTGCACCGTGGCGCTGCGCGAGATCCGCCGCTACCAGAAGTCCACCGAGCTGCTGATCCGCAAGCTGCCATTCCAGCGGCTGGTGCGCGAGATCGCGCAGGACTTCAAGACCGACCTGCGCTTCCAGAGCGCGGCCGTGATGGCGCTGCAGGAGGCGTGCGAGTCCTACCTGGTGGGGCTGTTCGAGGACACCAACCTGTGCGCCATCCACGCCAAGCGTGTCACCATCATGCCCAAGGACATCCAGCTGGCGCGCCGCATCCGCGGGGAACGTGCCTAAACTTCAAGGTCGTGTTTGACGCTAAAAGGCTCTTTTCAGGGCCTCCCACTTGCACACTAAAAAGAACTGTAGCTTTTTTAAGTCTTGTGGCTGAAGTTGTTTTGAAACTTAAAGAAGTCTGATTTTCTGCAATATGCTTGAGTTGTCTAAACACCTGGTATTTGTGGCTTAGTCCCTTTAGGTTTTAACTCATTAAGAAAGTGCTCCAGGGCCTCCCTGGAGGCGCAGGTGGTAGAGCACTGCACTGTGAAGCTGTCCACAGCGGATTCGATCCCGGCCAGCCGGTGAGAATTGCACGTGGCAAAGCAGACCTCTCCTGCCTCACCCACTGTTCCCCTCAGCAGTGTATTTCGTCAGTCTGCCTGTTCTGTTACCTGCTCTGGTGAATCCTCTCACTCTCCCGGCGCATAAGGCCTGTACCCTGGTTCTTGTATAAGTAAATTAAAAAAATTAGTGCTACAACTGTATGTTGTCAACATTTTATATTGCTACATTGTTGCCGCGAGCCAGCCGCAGCAGCCTGGGTGTCAGGGGTTCCTGAAGGATGGGACTGTGGAGGTGCAATTGTGGAATGATGGGGGGAATGAGGAGACGCAGACACTTGATTAGGGTGCAGACATCATTCTGCTGAGGGTCTCAGCAGCTCTTTATACGTTTCAAGCAAACCGTGAGAGTGCATAAGCATATGCATTAAAGCAGGAAGATAACAATCATTACATCTTTTTCAAGAACAGCCAAGATCTATTTGCCCTCCTGCAGAGGTCGTGACATTTACTATTCTTTGTTTTAAAGAAGGCACAATTGCTAAAAGTGTTCTTAGAGTAGTCATTTACCTTAAACAACTAAACAGTCATTCTATTACTAGTAAAAAACTTATGTGACTGAAACTGTTAGGGGGAAAAGGATGTCCTAAAGCTAATTCCATACAGGCTTTGTGGACTCCACTCCCACCCCAGGCCAAAGCCAAAGACACTGGGAACTCCAAATCCCATCACCATCAAAGGGAAGGTGGCTGGGACCTGAGGGTGGGGTTAAGCAGCCAGGTTGGTATAAAGCCAGACACATGGGCTTTGGAGGGGTTCCCCATTTTGGCTCTCGGCCAGCTCGCAGCGTCTGGCCAGCTCGGAGAGTGCCTTTAGGTTTCCAGGTCGGCGGAATGGGTAGGACGCATTAAAGACTTTATTTCCCTATTTTCTCCCTGAGTTGTACATTTTCCTTATTTCCTTTTCCCTTGTAAATAAACCTTTTATTAACCTTTTGTATGCCTGTAGTGGAGTATTAATAAGTCCCTTTTAAGCGCGTGGTGAGGACCCACAGCCAGGCAACCCGTTCAATATCGGGGCTGCCCTATAACAAAACCAACATTTCTTTGTTTACCATGGTGAACGATTAAGGGCTAGGGGAAACAAAGGACAGGAAGTTACCTGGGGGAAGGGAGACTGGGATTTTCCTAACTAACCTATAAAGTTTAGGCTAACACATAACCATATGATTAAAGCAAAAAACAGAAGGCTTTTATATAGAAATCATCATCTAATAATATATTGTTTTTATAAGATATTGATTAAATATTAAGGAACCAAGGGCCTGGAGGGCATCAATGCCAGACAAGCTGCACTGATTCTTCCCTAGCCCCAAGCTCTCAATGGAGGAATTCTCCTAATCTAACAAGTTTTTCTACCTATTACTCCTATACTTATCTCCTCAGCCTAGTTTCCGTATCTAACTTTAAGATCAAGGGAAAATTCCTTTTTCTATAAGATTGCTGATTGTTGTTTTAAGGAACTACAAATATTTCATTGGAGGCAGGGCCAGAGATGGTTATAGCTTTTGATTCCCAGAATGGTTAATACGTGACATATTAGTTGTTGTAACATTGACTATTTCCAAGTGCACTATTTGTGCTACCATGGTTATTAGCTCAACCAGTCACAAAATTGTTGTTGACTTATTCTTGAATGCACACTCTAACAACTACTATACCAATTGTCAGATCCAGGGCCCTAAGCAAACAGGAAGAAATTAGCAGGAGCCGGCTATGGTTGCCTACTGGCTTATCAGGAATTTTCTTATACTTAGAGCATGGCTAGCGTCTGCCACCCAGCTGCTATCTTTAACTTCAAGGCAAAAGAATTTCCTTTTCCATTTAGCCCTTGCCTCAAAAGACCCAAATCCATTTCAAAGATGTGGTGGAGGGATGTTTACAGCCTTTTGTTCCCGGAAGTTTTTCAGTTGCTAATGTATGACCAAATGTTGAATTGCTGCCTTTTGGCAGAGAATTACTAATTTTTTTGCCATCAAATTGGTTATTCAGTAATTGATCAATAGGCATTTGCAGTTTTACTTTTAAATGCGTATTTTAACAATGGTAGAAAATAGCCATAAACAAATAAGAAAAATCTAGCAGGAGTCAGGGACGATATTTCTGACTTTTCAGGAATCTGTCCCATGCCCAGACCTTTGTCAGACATGAGTAGCATGACTTCTGTCACATTATAAGTGGAACATAATATTTCAAGCGTTGAAACTTCTGGTTGATTGGCTTGTATCTTAAGCCATTTTAGAACAGGTAACATACATTCTTAGGTTTTTCATCTTTTTAAGACAAAGTTAGACTAGGTTGTTATTGAACCTTTTTTAAACATTTGCCAATCATGTGTGTGGCAGTCAGCACCCAGGGGTTCCACGTGTGAAACTTGGTGTCAATTCTTCTGTTTGAAAAATCTGAGTCAACACCTGAAGAGTGCCCCTCTGATATGATATCAGCCTTTTTCTGGAAAGGAACTTGCTGAGTATGTAAGCTTGGCTTCTTGGTAAGGAAGCAGCTTATGAAATCAGGAAGGGCCCACAAGAGAAGTCCCTGTGAACATGGATCAATACTGGCACTGGTAGGACATCCTCTGGAGAAATGCAGTCAATATATTACTCCACATTGAAGATTTATTCAGCAAAAGTGAGTACTACTGTAACGGGGTGGTCCCCAGGAAAGGGGGAGGTTCCAGATTCCCTGCCACACCCAAATGCAGGGTGGAGCTGAGTAGGAAGAGAAGAAGCTGCAGAGGAGAATGAGGAAGGAAGGAAGCAGGATGGAGATCCAGAAGGAGACCTGGAGGAGGGACGTGGAGCCAAGAGACAAGTGAAGAAACTGTGCTTGTCTTTTGGTCGTGGACTGGGTGGCACAGATGTGGGTGAGAGACCCGTGGAGAGGTGACAATGGCGGTTTTTGTCTTGGTTTTGCTCTTTTCCCTCCAGACTTGTCTGGTTGTTTTTTGATGCTTTTTTGTGGGTCCCACTGGAAGATGCCTTAGACTTGTGGCAGGCTTTGGGGCCTTGCTCTGGGTCAATCCCATTTGGATGGCGTTTTACCCACGAGTGGACGGGTAACTGGGTGCTTGATTTAGAAACTATATTCTTTCCCTTTTTTGTATTGTTTCCTAATTGTATTAAAGTTCCTTCCCATTAAAGTCTCATATGTTTTGTGTTGATGTGGCGGATGGCAGAACCTATTTAGAGCAGGCAGGTTTGCGGGGTCTGGGCTGCCCTCTCCCTGCCCTGTAACACTACATTACTGAATTTCTTTAAGTTCCATGCCTGGTTGCCTTCCAGCTAAATTTTCTGGATTTTTATATGCTTTCATCACCCTGTATTAGGAGTTGAGGTTTGCTATCCTAACAGGTAAACAAAAATGAATAGTCAGTGACACCAGACCTCTTGGGGTCTTGCTCATTAGGGTGGAAATGATGGCAACTGTGAAGATAAGGATCCACAGAAAATTAGATTTGTTCTGGCATATAAATTTGCTCCTGGAGGTCTATGAGAATTTTAGAAAGTAGATGAAGCTGCATGTCTGAACTGAGGAGGCAGGATTAGGACGGACGTTAAAAAGGGAGAGTTATGAAAAGTATTTAAAACCAAAGGAGTAGGCTACAGATCCCTCTGATTCCTGTTTCTTGTAGTCAGCCTCCTTGCAAATACATCTTGTCACTTCCCTGCACAAGCCATGTATGCTCATTATCTGGTGGCCTCTCCAATTCCTTTTCCTTTAACCCTCAGATCAGATGTGGCCCCCCACAGGTCTTTTATACCCCATTATCTTAATTTATCTTGCAATGTTATGCTTTGTTTCTCCCATTTAATAGTAGATACTAGTATAGCCTTAATTTTAAAAGTATAAGTGAATTAAAAATTTATATAAAAAATAGGCTGTTTTTGCATTTCTTGATGGCAAAAGTGATGTGGCATAAATGTTCGAACCTTGTCTCAGGTCTAAAATCACCTGCATAGAGATAACAGCAACATACTAGGATCTTTGACCTCCCTTCTCAAAATGTCTTGGACTCATCGTAGTTGAAGTCTCCATTTTTAGTACTCTTGAAGTCAATTTAACGGTATCCAGTGGCACCCTTGTTACAACCAACCCTAGGCTCATCTAGTTGGTCAAGAACTACTTGAACAATCTGATAAAATAGATAATTTAATCAACACTTAAACTTTTTTAATACTTTTAGTAGACACTAAAACAAATGATTACTTAAAGATGTGTATAACCAGAAGTACTACTCTAAGTAAAATCACACCTGTGTCAACTGCTTGTTTCTAGACTGGGCTTAGGGAGTTTAAACCTTTAAAACCTTGCAAATTTATAGAACAAATGTCAAACAACTTGCTAAGTAAAACGGGAATTCTGATGTTGCCAGCAAGCAAGGTAGTCAGGTAAGCCACTAAAACGCTACCTAAGGAGATTTTAACCTGAGTAACGTTAAAGTTTAAAATGGAACAAACAGTGTCACTTTCTTTATGAATACATAAGTGGCTCTGAAAAGAGCCGTTTGTTTTCTATTCTTACCAAACCTATCCTTATTTCCCCTGTGGTGGCTCTCGGCCTTCTTGGGCAGCAGCACGGCCTGGATGTTGGGCAGGACGCCGCCCTGCGCGATGGTCACCTTGCCCAGCAGCTTGTTGAGCTCCTCGTCGTTGCGGATGGCCAGCTGCAGGTGGCGCGGGATGATGCGCGTCTTCTTGTTGTCGCGCGCCGCGTTGCCCGCCAGCTCCAGGATCTCGGCCGTCAGGTACTCCAGCACCGCGGCCAGGTACACCGGCGCGCCGGCGCCCACGCGCTCCGCGTAGTTGCCCTTGCGCAGCAGGCGGTGCACGCGGCCCACGGGGAACTGCAGCCCGGCCCGCGAGGAGCGCGTCTTGGCCTTGGCGCGCGCCTTGCCGCCCTGCTTGCCGCGTCCGGACATGTCAGCAAGAACACCAACGCGCACGGGACGCCCTCACGCCCGCGAGGCCGACCTAAGCTACTTATAGTGGTGGCGGGGCGCGAAAAAGGAGCTGTGCGATTGGCCACTGTGAGATTTTCGTTTGCACCAATGGGGCGCGACGATGGGGCATGCGTGTGTCGATTGGGTGAAGCCGGCGCGGTGGCGTCACCGAGAGGAAGCACCAATCACCGGGGCGCCAGTCCACCTCATTTACATAAGGCTGTATATTTAAGGCGGTGCCGCCGGGCCCTGGCACTTCATTTTCCTTAATCTGTTGCTCGCCATGCCTGAGCCGGCCAAGTCCGCGCCCGCGCCCAAGAAGGGCTCCAAGAAGGCCGTGACCAAGGCGCAGAAGAAGGACGGCAAGAAGCGCAAGCGCAGCCGCAAGGAGAGCTACTCGGTGTACGTGTACAAGGTGCTGAAGCAGGTGCACCCCGACACGGGCATCTCGTCCAGGCCATGGGCATTATGAACTCGTTCGTCAACGACATCTTCGAGCGCATCGCGGGCGAGGCGTCCCGCCTGGCGCACTACAACAAGCGCTCGACCATCACGTCGCGGGAGATCCAGACGGCCGTGCGCCTGCTGCTGCCCGGGGAGCTGGCCAAGCACGCCGTGTCCGAGGGCACCAAGGCCGTCACCAAGTACACCAGCTCCAAGTAAATTAATTTTAGGCGCTGTGGAACCCCAAAGGCTCTTTTCAGAGCCACTCACTTCTCACAATAGAGTTGCTTCACTATTCCAGTCTCTAATTTGAGAGGTTTTTTTTTGTTTTGTTTTTTGGGTAAAGGGGGGCGACGGGGAGGTTGGGGTTTTCTCCAGGCTTGCGTTTTGTATGTATTACCGATGCAGTTTGTGGTTTTAAAGAACTTTTGGTCGTGGCGATATTTAGAAACTCGGGAGTTGGAGTTTCAACAGGAGTTCGCAGGTTTTCTTGCCATGAGGTTGGTTAAACATCTAGGAATTCAGTTAAGTGTCCCAGGTTTGCAATGCGTAATTTAAAACATTTTGCAAATGCAGGCACGAGGCGGTAGCGTTTGCGCCCTGGGCAGCAAAAGTAAAAGCTTTTCGGAAGGCAGCTTGCTTTCTGCACAGAACACCGCAGCGCTCGCTGTTCGGCAGCCCGCCTTCGCAGCACCGGGTCGCGGCGGGTGGGCGTGCTCACGTCCTGGGCCCTGTCCCGCCTCGCGGCCCCCGACCCGTCAGGCCCGCGGCTCGCGCCGTCTCTGCCGTCGCCGGACACGACCTGGAAATGGAAGTCCATGTCTAGGGAATAGCTTTCCGTGGCGGGAGGGCGCGAGGGCGGCCCGTCCCTTTCGGACCAAATTGAAAACCGGAGGCGGCCGGGCGGGAAGCCCGCCCTGTCTCCCTCCCCCCACCCCCTCCTTGCTCCAGGCGCGAGCGGAGGAGACGGAGCCAGCTGCGGACTCCCCGAGGCCATCTTTTGAGGTGAGCTGGCGCCCGCGGGAGTGCTGCGGACGCACAAGCATTTTAGGAAAGGGAAAAAACAGAGCAAAAAGCGGGTTGACAAGGCAGTGGGTCTCCGCTTGCAGTAAACGGCAGCGGAGCCCAGGGCCAGGGAGCCCACGTTGGGTTTGGAATAAAGGGCTGACTTCTGGCTGCGCTCCGCCATCTGCTGGGACCACAGAGGAGCTGAGCCGCTCTGAGGGATGCGCCGGTAGCGAACCCCGCGCGCCTGCCAGGTCAGTGCAGCCCGCGCCCCGCTCTTTGGGAGAGCTCTAGTGAAGCGAGTGCTGCCGCCACCTCGGCTTCTCGAGTAGAGCAAACCCAAGTAACGAATACAGGGGCCATAGCAGTACACAGTAGGGCTGTGGGAGATTCGCCTCCGTTGCGGGGGGACGCCGCCTTGGACTACAAGTCCCATGGGCCCTTCTCCGAGGGGACGTGCTAGGGGCGGGGCTACGCGGCCGTGATCGACAGATAACGGCGCCCGCCGGCGGCCTTGGTCTGATGCTGCCTGCCGCCGCCGGTGGCCCGGTGCGCGCTGCTGCGTTACCTTTGGCCAGTTAACTCTGTCGCCTCCTCCTTCTCCCCTCGTCCCCGGGTGTCTGCTTCTGGCTTGTGTCCTGAGCCCCGAGCCCCGAGCCCCGGCCGCGAGGGCTCCCCCAGCCCCGCCGTTTCCCCAGTGGCTGCCTGGACCACTGGGCCCGGCCTGGCCGGCCCCGCGCGCCCCAGCGCCCTTCCCGATTTTGGTCCCTGGAGCGTGGCGACCGCGGGGCCCTGGCGGGATCTTTGGCTTTAATGAGGGGCTCGGCTTTCTCCGCACGGCCGCGGGTGACTCGAGCGCGGACTCGGGCTCCGTGGCGGCCCGGCGTGCAGCGGGTGCTCCTGTTCCGGGCGCTGCCTGTGGGGCCCGCTTTCTGGAATCTGCTCAGAGGCCTCCTTTGGGGGCGCTGACTTGCTTGCAGAGGGGTGCTCACCCTCGCCTTGGACCGCTGGGCGACTTCCGGCCGGCCTCCCGCCTTAGGCTTAGCAAAGGCTCCCACAGGAGAGGGTCGCGGCCTTCCCTCGCCCTCCTAGCTGTGCAAGGCGGGGGACAGGAAAACAGGGCCGTCATTTACTGGAAGCTTTGAACCCGCCAGCAGAGAACCCTTTCGGAAGGCCAGAACCCCTCTTGTGGGGGCTGCAGCGGCTCCTCCGTCCTTGTTACCCCCACTCTCTGCACCGCCCCCCACGGGGTAGGACTCTAATGGCTTCTCACACCAGATGGGGCGCCCAGCTTGGCCAAAGGAGCTGCCCTGCAATAGGACACTCCCCACTGTGTGGATTGCGGGAACAGGGGCACCCTGCCAGCCTCTGTTGGCTATGGAGGGCTTCCTGAATTGGAAAGATCCTGTCCTCCACACCAGCAGGATCCTGAAAGGATGGCTGACTTGTTTGCCTCTATTTTTGTTTCCCATTGTAGACGGGCAGACGCACAGTCCGTGTTACTAACCCTGTTAATTAACATCGGGTGAGCAGAGAATGGTTTTGATGAAGGCAAATGAGGAGGGAGGCTCGTCGTCGTCGTCTCCACCAGCGAGATTTTAAAAAACCCTGGAACCTGAAGAGGTTGTCCCAGTGGTGGATCCTAATGGGACCCCCAAAATGGAATGGAAAGGCTGGAATATCGTAGGAGGTGCTTATCGGGACTGTGGCACGGAATTCCTAAGCAAAGGAGGTTGGGTAAGGTGTAGAACTCCAGCAAAAGGTCCATGAGCACCCACCTGAGTTTCTTGAAAGGATTGTTTGAGCTTATAGTACTTTGACATCAACCCAGATAGTCTGGAAAGTAGATGATTAACATGACATTCATGTGTCAGAGCACTCGGATATAAGGAGGGAATCAATCAAGACCGAAGGTGCCTTAAAGATGAGTTCTTCCCAGCTTTAGAGTTTACAGTGGCGGAGAGTCAAGGAGACTTAAATCTGCAGATATTTTCATAGAACACAGGACAGGGTTTAGGCAGCCCAGAGAAGGGATTTGGAGAAGTAGAAGGGAACCCTTGGAAGATGGTGTGTCAGTGGTCATGAAAATCTTTCCAGAAACCCTGTGGTTTTGCCTTGTGCTGGTAAATATCAGTCTCAATGCATTAGACCTTGGTTGATGCAACAGAGGACACACCCAGCCTGCGGAGCCCATGTTTACCTACGGAATTTCCTGGTCACCCCAGCTGACACTTGCCCCAGTTCTGATAGAGGGGGTGACTATACAAAGAAGTTCAGTTTTCAGACTCCAGAATTTGCTTTTGCCTTTTGCTATGAGCCGAGGTGTGAGGCTGTCTGCTCTCAGTATTGTGCAAAAGATGCTACCTAATCTCATCCAAGCTGCAGCCAAGAGGACAAGACAAATGTTCAGCATAGGGTTCAAAGAAAATGGAATTTTAAAAGTTATATTTGAATGTCACGTAGGTATTTTCCAACATAAACGTAACTGATAGCATGTATCTTGGGATATCTTTTCTCCTTATTCCACACACCCTTTGCCCTCCTTAATACATTTTAATTTCCTGAAATTCAAGCAAAAGTGAAGTAGTTGCCGGGCTTCAATTTTGAACGCTGCACCAGACATAGAAAAAGAATGCAGAATCAAAAAATACGGGCAAAGAGCTTTCAGCTTTGACTCATAACTCCGTACCTTCTAGGCCTCTCTGCCTCCAGATTGCATCCTTTCATCCTGGTGATCAGGGCTTAAGACCTGTCAGAGTGGAGATACCCAAGCTCAACTCATAGAATGTCCTCGTAATTAGGATGTTTTTCTAACCACTCACACTTCTTTGAAATTTGCAGGCATAAAAGCCTTGGTGCATCCCTCTAGAGTGAAGAAAGTCCTGGAAGGTGATGACCCAGAGACCAACATCCATTGGTCCTACAACTTGAAGACAAGTTATGCTTGTTTAAGAGAAAGACGAGCTTAAGTATTCTCTTTTCTCTTTCAGTTTCTGTTGCCCAGATGAACCCTGGAAACCCTGCGATAATCTAGGGTTATGGTCCTCGACCGAAACTTTTTCCTTTTTCCAAAGTCTGAGGTGTGTAGGATGACTGCTGGAACCATGTGACCTGATTCTCCAGCTTTAAGTATAATTTTTTCTCTTCTATCTGGGTTATTGAGGTTGAGTACGTGAAGTCTTGTAATGTCAGATAATGTGGGCGTTGGGAGATTTAAATTTTGTTTTGAAAGTTAAAGTCTCCAGTTATAGAGTCAAAATAAAAGGTTATGGCTTAGCTGTCAGCACTGTGGTGAGTTTAGACAGTTTTCATTACAATTTAAATGGACTTTCCCCCCCCTAATACTAATGCAAAACTCACTGAAAACCTAAATTAGGGAAATGGGTGGTCGACCTTCCTTGGATTGATCACAGGAAATTTTATGGAATTTCAGTTAAGCTCCTGAGACACTAACCACAGAACTTAGGGGTAGGAAAACTTAAGCAGCGTCCTGTAAGCCTGATCTGCTTGCCCTCGCTTATCTTCTGCGATCTTCCCATGAGGCTCACTTGC